CGAAGAAAAGCCTGAAGACCGAACGAAGACGGACAAGTTTGTCAGAATTAGGGACTCCAAGAGGAGAAGTTCCAAGACGGGCCAAGGCCGAAAGAAGAAAGGCCACTGGAGTGATGACCGTGAAAATTTCGACTCAAATTTGGAGTCGAACGGTTCAGAAGGAAATGGTGGCGACGGTTCGTCGAACCATTCAGGAAATTCCGACCGACGATCAGCAGAAGGAAATGGAATTTCATCGAATAAGAAGAGCTACAAGAGAGGCGGAATTACTTCGTCCGCCTCGCGAAGGGATGTGGACGCGGAGCCAGAAGATATGCTCTACGGTGAGCTCGAAGCAACGCTTCAACTCTTTAAGGAAGCAAAACTAGCTATGCGAAGGGATAAGGCTGAAACGGGGTATCAAGGTTTACAAAACGATACCTCAAATGTCTTCTACCAGGGGCAAGCAAAATACCTGAAAGATGTGTCAACATTCCGCAGGGGTAAGGACAAAGAGTCGCATTGTAAACTGAAGAAACCGTTTAATCCGCTGTCTATTCAGGGCTGCTTCAATTGCGAATCGCCGGACCATGTACTCAAGCACTGTCCACACCCTCTCAACGTTGCTCAGGCTGCGACGCGCAAGGTAGGCTACTATTCCAAGAAGGACAAAGGTCGAACTTACGCAGTGCATCAGGTCCTGGCAGATTTCTGCATGCAATTAGATGATTCTCTCCTGGCCAATAACAATGAGGAGAAAGATAGGTCAGACGCTGAGATATTCCAATCTCTCCTGAGTACCGAAACGACAGAGGAAGTCACCATCTCGGAAGTAGCCGAGCCTGCTGAAACGGAAAACGAGATCTACCTCATCAACTACCAGGATGCAAACGTGTACTAAAAGGAATTCTAGGAGCCTGCATAGACTCGGCTGCGCAAAAGACTGTGATCGGTAATCCACGAGCTGAAATCTACAACCAGCTTTTTGGTATTCCGTTGAGGTTGGTGCAATCAGAAGTGAGATCAAACTTTTGCTTTGGCATTCATCGACACGCAGGGCTTGGGACGATCGAGATACGGGTTTCCATTTCGAATGACTACTACATTCCAGTGATGACTGAGGTAGTCAATATCGATATTCCATTCCTTCTGGGGCTGGACACGATGACCGAAAACGGTATGGTTCTGGACACAAAAAGACAGACGCTTTCGTCTAACTCTGACGGGTGGAAAGTATCGCTTGTCAGGAAGCGTGGCCATCTTTACTACGATGGGGAAATTCGTGTTCTCTTTACCGAAGCTGAGTTGCGCAAGGTGCATAAACACTTCTTCAATCCAAAACCGGAGAAGCTGTACGCACTCATCCGAAGAGCTGACCCGGCAACAGCCTCACCTAAAGTACTACAGGACTTGGAACGATTAGATGCAACTTGTGACCCTTGTTAACGGTATGCTACATCTCCGCATCGATTCAAAATTTCTTTACCTTCCGGAGACATTGTTTTAAACAGCGAAGTTTGCATGGACCTCATGTTCCTGAACCAAAGGCCAGTATTTCATGTGGTCGATAGAGATACTAAGTTTAATTCTGCACGATTTTTGCAGAACGAGACAGCTGAGACCGCCTGGAACACCTTTCGCGAAATGTGGGTTTCAATGTACGTGGGGTATCCTGACATCATATCTGCAGATCAGGGCCCGCAATTCCGTTCGAAGTACTGGAGAAGCGTCACAAAACTGGCCGGGATCGTTCTCAAATTATCGGGAGTGGAAAGCCACAACGCCATTAACGTTGGCGAGACCTATCAAGACTTCCTCCGGCGCATTTTCAACAAGGCTAAAGCAGATAACCATCAGTTACCCGATGAGGATCTGCTGGTTTTATCAACGAAAGCGCTCAACGATACGGTTGGACCCAACGGGCTAGTGCCCACCTTACTGGTTTTTGGTATTCTCCCGCGTATTCCGTTCGCTCCCACGGAGCTTTCGACCTAAGTGCAGAGGGAGAAAGCCATGGCCGCTGCAAGGTCGGAGATGAGTATACTTGTTGCGAAGTCTAAGCTTGAGTTGGCGTTGAAAAGTAATGCCCCAGGAGCCGCTTCCTCGTTTGGGGACATCAAGATTGGTTCCGAGGTTCTTGTTTACAGGGAGAAGCCCATCAATAGCTGGACTGGTCCTTTCACTGTGCTAGACGTAAAATGGCAAGGTGTGCCACCTTGACGTCAATGGGAGACAATCAAAGTACTCTGTCGACAAAGTGAAACTGTACCACAAACCATCCCCAACTGATGAGCCTACTAACGAAGTTGATGGAACTGCCGAAGTCTCTGCCGACAGACACGGCACTAGAGATGACCCCGGGCAGGTGGTACATCGTACTACCCGATCAGAGCAGGAATCGCAACGTCATTCCGGAGAACACCCATTACACACCAGCTTGCGAAGTCCTCTGGACGATAAAGATGTTATTAATCGCTGGAAGAACACCCTTACTGACCTTAGAGACGACGAGATGCAGAAAGATATACAGGACTTAGAGGAGTTGCGAATGGACAAATCTCTTCCTGAAGACTGGCTAGTGGATAATTCCGCCGAAATCGACATCACGAAAGTATTGGCTCCCAACGACTCCCGCGGTAAGGGACCTGCGTTCGATGTGGCCAAAGCGGAAGAAGTGGAAGGAATTAACAAACGAGACATTTGGGATATCACCAGCCGAGATGGAGTTCCGGAAGATGCAAATGTTTTGTGAGGCCGCTTTTTTCTTGCATATAAGAACTATGGTACGCCCAGTGTGACAGAATTGCTAGGTATGTAGCCCAAGGTCACAAAGACAAAGAGAAGGGTTTCGTTGTTCATAACGTTACTACGCTTCGAGCCAGCTCAACTCGCATCTTGGTATCGGTGGCAGCGATCAAGGGCTTTAGAATATATGCAGACGACGTTCGTCAGGCTTACTTGCAAAATGAACAAGACTTGACAAGGTATATACACATGCCTCTAAACGCGCATGACCGGACATTCTTTGCTTTGGGAGACAATGAGATCCTGAAACTGAAAACCCATATTTATGGTGTTCTAGATGCCGGAGAATACTGGAATGTTACCATACATGATCACCTGAGGAAGGATCTCAAGTTGGTACTGCTGGTCGGAGACTCGGCTCTTTATCTGAAGCCGAACGACGAAGATGTCGATGGGCTCATGGCTATATATGTCGATGATAAGGCTATGGCCGGTAATGACGAAATGAGGAAGCTCACGGAGGAGACAGCTAAACGCTTTGAGTCAAAGCCGCGTGAATGGGATGAGTTCAATTTCTTCGGGATGCACTTAAAGTCTCTAGATGATAACGTTTTCTCAGTCAGTCAGACCGATTACATATCAAAGCTTAAGCCCATCGCAATGAATTGCAGTTTTGACTATTTTCGTTCTTACCGTGAAATGGTGGCATGGATCGGACTAAAACGCCCTGACATGGCTTTCATTATCAACCGAGCAGCGCAGGTTCCAGAACCTAAATTTTCAGTTGAGAAGATACGTGAACTCAATAAAGGTATCGCAACCGTGAAGACTTCTGCTGACAGATGTATGGTATATCGTCCACTGAGGAAGGAAACTCTCCATCTTCGAACGTACGCGGACTCCTCGTTTGCCAACAATGATTACCTGTCTACGCAGATGGGTTTCATAATCTTGCTCTGCGATCGCAGTAATGCGTGGTATATTCTGGATTTCTCCAGTAAGAAGTGTAAGAGAGTTGTCCGGTCTGTAATCGGAGGAGAGGTTTACGCATTGGCAGAAGGTTGCGACAGGGTTTACATGCTAAAGTGTGACTTACAGACTGTATTCAAAATGGAGGTTCCTCTTCACATGTTCACTGAATCGAAGTCCATGTTTGACGTATCGACAAAATCGTCCTCAACATCCGAGAGAAGGGTAATGGTTGACCTAAGAGCTTTACAGAAAGCCTACAAACGCGAAGAAATATCTCATGTTGGGCTCGTAGGATCACAGCACAATCCAGCTGATGGACTCACTAAGGGTAAGCCTAATCAGGCTCTTGAGGACATATTGCTTAATGGAGTCGACGATACTCCTATTAAGCAATGGATATTCCGTACAAAGGCAAGCTCTGGATAAAGAAGAGGGAATGTTAAAAGTCGGGGCGATCAGGATCTGGCCTTATGTCCGTTCTACATTACGTTGCGTAATTTGCCACACCACGTGATGCTCGCTTGCAATTGTTGTTGTTTTTTATTGAATTTTCTGTAGTTGTTTTGCGTACAGTATACATAAAGACTTTCCCGTCGCCCGCGTTTTCCGGCGGTGTGTGTGTGTCGTATCATCTTGTTTCGTGTTTCGAAACAATTCGCGTCCGCTCCCCTTTTCTCGGTCGTCGAGTTTCGAGCATCGCGTCTACACTTCCGGACGTCAGAAGCGCACCTCGATACACAAGACTAACGTGTAATTGGCATCCAGGTTACAATACCACAGCTATGTGAGCTAGGATCAGGATGCGATTTTTTGTTTATTTCTGAGACCATCTCGAAATGGATGGCCCTCGTGCAGTACGAGAGGAAAAACTACTACTCGGCCCCTTGCGGGCCGCCACATATAGCGACGCACTGGTTGTGTTGCGCATTGTTTAGAGCGCTGCATGGCTAAAAATGTGCGCTATAAATTAGCGCACTGGTTGCCTTGCTCTAATAAAACCAATGCAGCTTCTTTTCACTCTGTCTCTTCCCTTTCATTTGAAGCTGCTTTTCATTATCATACCTTTCGTATTTTTGTGCAAGCTCAAGGTTTCAATGGTGTCCTTTCAATGCGCACTGTATTTTCTTAACTTTTTGATACTTCAGCTTCACCGGTGGAGATGCTCGAATGTATTCCATCGTAGCCAGCTAAATATGGCGTAAAAAGTGTTACCTGAATTGCTTCTGATATAGAAATGGAGTGGGAGGCACCGTAGCCTACGTTCTACCGTCGTCACTAACTCTAGCACTATGGAAGGGACATGAATGCCGTCGTCATTGTTTTTTCTCCCACGACCCCCCGCCCGCATTTTTTGCAAAATAACTGTCAGCCCTGTCACTGCTCTGTTACAATGCGGTTACAACGCTGTTACAACGCCCGTTACACTCTGCCCACGTGCTCCCCTACCATTGCCATCTAGACTCTCCCGTGCCATACTGCACTCCAGTCTGAAACAACGCGTCATCGACGTCATCCCCAAATCGCATACAACAATGCTCCTTCAGCTGCTAATCTTTGTTGCCATTGCCAAGCTCAGCAACTAAAAACTCATCAACGCAAACCGCTTCATACTTGTTTATTAGTCACTCGTTGCTCCCCTCTTCAACGGTACACCCGAAGGCCACTGCATTGCGCACCAATCGACCCAATCCCGCAAATCTTACAAATTATTCCCTTCGACTCTACTCCGTAGCATGCCTTGCAATAACCGCACTCCTCGCTAGTCTCACCGCTGTACAAAGCACTCATCGTACCACAGTTCACAACAAATTCCTTCTTATCGTCAAACTGGATATCGTCCTTGTTCGACATGTTACGGTCGCAAACTTGCATCACCTGTCGCGCATTCTGCGCCAATTTTGCTGCTGGTGACAGTTCCAGTAGCCGCCGCGCAAAACCAGCTGCGTGAATTAGATTTTGAGTGTCAAATGCCTGCTTCATAGCTGCACGCAATGCAAGTTGTACATGGATCGGTGCCATCCTGCATTTCGTAAACAACCCAGCTGCTTCAATCTGTCGACTACTATTTCCTTCTGCCTTGGCACTCCGCCCAACTGCTTCCAGTTGCAGACCAATCAAATACTCACGACACATTCCCAATGCAGTCTTCGCGTCTTCCGCTTCTCTTGAGCTTCCTACTACAACCAGTGGAATCGCACTCAAAACTGACGAGAATATTTTCATCGCCTCAGCAAACTTGGCCCCCTGGAAGCGCTGCTGTCCCATCCGGAACCGTTCTCTCAAAAGTGGCAGTGTCACAGCCATCGCAGCACTCTCTGGTGCTGATGGTCGGGGAATGTACACAGTCGTTACGGGCATCGACGGCGACCCGTCAATCACACTGCGACACCCACCGTACGCACCCATAAATGCCTCCTTCATCTTGCTGAAAGACCCCGCCCCAATCTCCTTGGCGAGAACCTTCATTGCTTCCTCAAATGCACCGGCAGCGGCATACTCCCCAGCAAGGCTACTGCTCTTGGTCCACCGTCCAGCAGGCCCCAGACCAGCAGTTGGCGGTACATAGTATTCGTTTCCGCGAGCAGCTCCCCGTCCTGACTCACCAAAACCGTCCTGAAATTCGTTGGCGTCCTCAGTCCCAAATCCGTCTTCTTCCACCTCGCCATCATCGATGTCAAATTCTCCACCCCAAGCGTCGTCTCCTTGCGCTGCCCCGCCATCATCTCCGCCGAGACCCACAGCAAACGGATCAACAGGAGCGGCAGACGTGGCATGCCGGTCGTCATCCCAAGTTGCGTCTCTTTCTGATGCCTCAAACGCCGCAGCGTCCTCGTAGTAGTCTCCAGTCGGTTCCTCAAAGTCACCCTCAGCTCCAGGATCGCGACTGAAAAGTCCGCGAGCCACAGGAAGATGCGGCCATACCATCTCATCAGTGCCGACTGGGGTCGGTGGCACCATCAAAAGGCTATCCGCAGCATTGAGGCCCAGGTTTACATCAGACTCATCCAAACCGCCCATTTCCTCAAGCTCATCGTGGAGCCCGTGAGTTTTCGCCGTCACTTTGGCAAGCGCAATTTGCCCGCAGTCCTTCAGTACAGAGATTCTCCCTGCGACATCGCCCAGGTACATAGCGATTTGGAACCGCGCTGCAAGATTTCCGCGTGACTCGGCGATCTTCCCAACCTTGGATAGCTTCTCAAGGTTTCCTGTGATAACATATAAAAGGGCAAGTCTGTCCAGGTCTTTTGTTCTTTGCAAGCAGAGCTCGAAAATCTCCAGGTTGCCCTGGCTCAGAGCTTCTGTCGCCAATCTCTGAAAAGCCTCAGGCTCGCCGAGCACCTCCGCTGCCTCAAGAGCAACATCAATCGCACCAGAATCCAACGCAAGGGCGAGGCGAGTTTTCTCATCCTTGACAAAATGAAGGGCAACCTCTGGGAATCCCTTTTTCTGTAAATATGCAATGATGGATTGCCCGCGAAGTCGATTCTGTGAGATCATTCTCTTCACATCATCGTATCGCTTGCGCAAAAGTAAAAGCTTGAACGCATACTCTGTCGGATCGATCGGAAGGATCCCAGGGTTGCCTTCTCGGTTCAAGTAACACACCGCGGGGCCTCGTACACGAGTTAGGTAGATTGGCTGAGGTAGCGTGGAAACAATGCCATTGTCTCCATTCGGCAAGCAGTACTTCAAATGGTTCAACGTTGTGTACAGCAGTACTCCAGAATCATCCCACGCTGCGGACTTGACTCGAATGGTTTCGTGCACGGTGGCAAGATGATCCAGCTTGGACGTGCACAATACGATAACGTGCTTACCTAAAAGTGCAGCGCGCTTCCCATCCTCAGACCAAACTGCATACTTCGCGTGAGCCGCGATTTCAGAGACCTGCTTTCGCTGCTGCAAATCCATGAGCACGATCTTCTCATCCGATCGCACGAGCACGTACCCAGATCCGGCACTGAACAACCAATCGGCACCTGGGACAGAGATCGGGACGCGTTTTGTGACCTGATTGCGGAGGTCTCTAACAATGATTTCTTTGCCCTTTTCCAGTGTGGCAAAGCGATTTCTTCCAACGAACACAGCAGCAACCCCTGAACCCTTTCTCGGCTCTGCGAGTGTCTCTGCTCCTGTAGCTCCCATACGAGGCAGGTTTGTGTACAACTCGTATGAACCACCATCAGAATCATGGCTGAGAAGTACGGCATGCTCCGCGGGATTGTACGACATGGACCGAGCTGGAGGTTGGAATGCAGAGCTGTTAGAACCACCGCCACCTCCGAAGAAGGAAGAAGACGCCCCAAACCCTCCTCCCATCGCTCCCATACCTCCGACAGTGTCAAAGATGCTAGCTGGTGCCTGACGAACTGCGACTAGCGGCATGTCACGGCCGTTGTTGAAATCGAGCATGCGCAGGAAGCGGTCCTTTGTATACACAAGGGTCTGCTCCGTGGACTGGTAGGCGGGGCGCTCGCGCTCTAGCTTAAACACAAGCATTCCGCTGTCATGCCCGGCAGCGATAAGATTAATGGTCGGGTGGGCGGTGAGAATCCAAAAGCGGTCCGCGTCACGACGGAATGTGTGCAAGCAAGTCCGGCGGTTGAGATCCCACACACGGATCGTCTTATCCTCAGAGTCGGTTATGACGAGTTCCTTTCGCGGGTGGAACATGGCACATGAAACATTGTTCAGATGGCCGCGGAAAGTGTCGAGCTCCCATGCCTTGGTATCAGACATTCGCCACAACTTGACCTGACGATCGTCAGCACCCGAGACAATGAGTGGGAGTGTGGGATGAAAGGAAGCCCAGTTGACTCCGCGGGTATGGCCTTCGAGAACATACTTGACGACCGCATCGGTCCCCCCAAATAAATCAGCATTAACGGCAGCTGGTAGCTGCCCGCGTACTTGAGCCATGACATCGGAAGGCCTCACAGATTTCTGCCGAAGCGAGGAAATGTCCCAAACTCTAATTGTCTGATCAAGAGATGCTGACACGACTAGATCTTCATTTGGTGAAAACATAGCCGACATGCAGTAATGAGAGTGACCGGTTAAGACGGCCAAGCAGCTCCTGTTCTGCCAATTCCAGATGCGGACTGTCTGATCATCACTGGCGGAAACAATCCAAGGACTTTCATGATGAAAATAAACCGTCCTGATATAGTCGAGGTGTCCGATCAGGGTAAAGATGCATCGCCTGAGTTTGTAGTTCCAGACTTTGATCTTGTAATCATCACCGCCAGAAACGAAAAGCGGCTGAGAGCGATGGAAATCAATGCCGCGAACAGGCCCCTCATGCTCGTCGAAGCGATCGATGAGGGTGCCCATGCGATAGTCCCAAAGCTGGATGGCACCATTGTGCAAGCTGGCCAGGATCCATGGACGGGTGGGATGGAAGGCAAGGCCCTTGACACGATTGCTTTTCGTTTCAAACTTGGTCAGCATTGTGCAGGGCGAAAGTTAGGGACGCGGGAAATGGCGCGTCGGAGTTTGTTGGAGAAGCGGTGGTGTTAAGAGAAGGCGGTGTCGCCGCCGGGCAGCGCGTCGGGTCGCGACTGCTCCGCAAGCAATAGATCGCTGCGGACGGGCCGATTCGTGACCGGGCGGTGGTGTGTCTCCTAGTCGATGAAAGGAGAGGAGAATGCGAAGGGATCTTTGGAGTGAGGAGCGGCTTGATGGGTTTGAAAGGAGGTGCCAGTGGGGAGGGACAGGGTAGAGGGGGGGCGCAAGCCGATGTTGTTGTCGAACCGAGTGTATGGAAAGTGGGCGCCTACAGTCTGTTGGAAGGGTTCATCGGTGAACCGGAGCCTAGAGCACGGGGCGGCGGCTATGAGTGGCTATGAGTGGCTATGGTACGGTAGGCTGACACCATGGGCCGATTTCCAGCACTGAAACTGATCGTAAAAAAGGCAAATGTACCGCTCCTTTGAAATTCTCCTGTATTTTGCTCAAAACTTGTTGACTGATATATATTATTGATAATTTCAGAATAGTTCCTCTCCAAAAACACCTGAACTATTTTCGTGAATTTTGATGTAAAGATAATTTCGTACACCTCCCGGTCGCTCCCTTTTGCATTACAGTATGAGGTTCTTCAATGTAAACTCACACGTGCTGTTCACACGTGTACATCTCCTACAGAATTACGTCCACCACTCCTCTCTCAGCGCAGCTGAAGACGTCATCTTCATCTGCAAAGCCGAACAGTCCCTTCACCATCCCTATCACATCTTCTACTAAAAGAAGATCTCTCAGCTTGAATGGTTGGGTGACTCTGTCCAACAAAACAGTCTGAAACTGATCACGCCTAACTTCATGCTCCCCTTCACCGAGTTCATCTGTATTTATTATAACCAGTCGCCTCCAAAATACCATTCGGCAGCTTCCAATTATATCCTCTCACCAAAAAAAACGTGGAGGGATGTCTTTTCATGCACACCGCACGCCCCAAGAAAAGCGGAAGGAGCTTGTCGCATCCCCTCACCCTCATTCATGTCGTCCTCGGCATCATCACATCCACCTGCCCCGTGGCATTAACCACCTCTATCGCATGATCGACCGCCATACGAAAAAACTTGATCGCCTCCCGAACCTCTGGACTGGGCACCGCAATGAACTGGTTCCTCACATCGCTGGCGAACAGCTTCACTTCTTTTGAGCTCTTCGCCCTCCCCTGAGCAGTAGTCTCCCCTCCTGCAGTCGCTCTTCTCCTAAGAGCCTGCCCGGTCGAAGTCCCTACCGGCCGCGAGTCTTCTGCTTGCGTCCCATGCCCCAACTGCGTTATAATCACCACTGCCTCCTCTTTATCGCCTTCCTCCACACCTAACCGAACGCTACTCTTTAAATCTTTCCTGTTATCGTAGATGAGCCGCCCCAGCCCTTGCAGTGAGAAGTAAACGGCGATAAGACATTCTGTGTTTAGCAAGGACGTCATCGATGACAGGAGGTCTCAATTCCATGGACTATGTTTGCGAGTTGCTTACTTTCTGATGACGAAGGATTTGCGTATCGCTCTCGGGCTAGTGCCATGAAACCATCAGAAATGTGGTTATGCAGGATTTGTTGTTGAGCCGTTCGCCTGTCGACAGCGTCGAAAATTTTTTCCAGCTTGCGGTTTTCGTCTGGGACACTGTCATCTCCCATGATTGAGCTACCCTTCGTACGATGAAGTTGCAAATTGACCACTGCCTGGTTGAGGTGGCTGAATTCGTAATCGTGTGCCAGTTACCTTTTCGTAGGAAGGAAAAAAAAGTCATGTGAAAACGTGTACATCGGTTTCTAAACTTTTCATACTTTCACGGGCAATTCGAAAAATTTGGGCGTGCATGAGGTACTGTACACGTGCTTGGTTCATGATCATGGCTACCCTCGATAGCAATGAGGCTATTTGTGGAGAATTCAGAAAAGAGTACAAACTCGAGGAACATCTTGGGAGAGATAGACTGCGTCTTGCTCATATTTTTGTTGTATGCTCTCCACGTCGTTTGCGAAAGGAGAAAAGTTCTGCTACCCTCCGTCACATCCATCTCAACGGCGTATCCCAAGAGTGAAATGACATTTTGGCTTCAAAGCACGTTTTGAAGATTTCGGAGTGACGGTTTCGCAATCACAGGTATTTTTTTCAAACTGAATTTGCCCTCTCACCCAAAGACCTAGGCATGTATTGGCGCGGGTGCTCCACTAAGGGGCTAGACCGTCTCGAATTCACTGCCATGCTCGTCATGATGCTCATCAACCTTATTCGTACGCCATTTACAAAGGTTCGTAAACAAATGTTCTTCGTATGTGATACTCTCCTGTCACATGGAGATTTTGCGAAGACTGACCTTGTCTGATCGCAACTCGCACCCACCCCACAGGTCGAGGAAAGCTTTAATATTCAAGCCGTATTCGATTTGATCTATAAGGATTGGTTTTACGTCTCCAAGTTTGATCATGTCGAGTTCCCGGGCGTCGTTCCACGGACTTTCATCGGCCCTATAATTCTATCTACAGTCCCACGCCTGATGATTTTCCTCTTCCACATCTCCCAGTACACTGCATTGCTTGTCGCTAGAGGCACCCTTGGATTCTTCATTGTCCTATCCCTTTACGCGATACGAACATCGCTCTCCTGGCGATTCGGGCGTCTTTCTGCGATTATCTTCACAGTCTCTACGCTATCGCAGTTTCATCTTATGTTCTATGCTAGCCGCACGTTGCCCAACGTCTTTGCTTTGATTCTCATGAACTTTGCGTTTGCCGATCGCGTGAGGCCGGCCCCCTTCTCTCAGCCGTACAGAAGCATTGTCATTATGTCGATAGCGTGCGCTCTATTCAGGTCGGAGCTCTGCCTGTACATTTTTTCCACACTAATTGTTGATCTGTATTGTAAGAATATTGAAATCGGCCGAACCATCACCTATGGACTGAGCGCAGCGGTCGGAACAGCCTTAACCTCAATTTTAGTCGATTCTTACTTCTGGCGGAGGCTTTGTTACCCTGAACTGGAAGTGTTCTACTTTAATGTCGTCTTGAATAAGAGTTCAGACTGGGGAACACTTCCCTTTCACTGGTATTTTACGAACGCTATTCCCCGCGCCCTTGGGGCAAACCTCGGTGGCCTTTTCTATTCGGTATTCGTGCCAGGAGCAAGGGCTCCTTTGGTACTGGCATTACCGGCGTTTTTGTTCGTGGGTCTGTACTCCTTCTTGCCTCACAAGGAATTGAGATTTATTTTCTATGTCATTCCCGTGCTGAATATGTTGGTGGCGTATGTTGTGCCGTACGTTGTCAAAGAAGTATTTCAACCACATCCAACTCATCATCACAAGAAAGACGACGATACATCATATGAGACTACGGCATCGCACGGAGCACTGAGGCTAGAGAGAAAACGCAAATTGCAGCGTTTAATACATCGCACAGCATGTATTTGCATTATGCTCAGTGTGATCGTAGGCATCCTGGTCAGTTGTGTGCAGACATTAGTGTCGTGGCAAGCTTCTTATTTGAACTATCCATCCGCAAAAGCAATGCAACGACTCCACAGTCTCGAAAACGCGATGTACAGAGGGAAGCTGCCTCAGTGGTCAACTGCGGCGCATGGCGGGGATGACATAAATCAAAGGATTCTTTGTGAAGAAGATCCGCGAACATCTGCACTAGTTCACATCGATGCAAGGTCAGCAATGAACGGCATATCGCAGTTCTTGCAAAGCAGTGATGATGGAAGCTGTCCAAGATGGAGATATTCGAAACGGGAAGACATTGGCAACATCGACTGGACGGAGTTCACGCACCTCATATCTGAGAAGGATCACGTAGAGGGCTTTTGCCTCATCCATATTGAATCCAGCTTTGCAGGAATAGACTGGCAAAAGGCAAAGATACGTCTCAAGGCGCACACATTTGTTCATAGAAATATGAATATTTCTTTAGCAAGTTGCCAAACTACAGACGGAAGCGGTTCGAAAGAGAGACCTCCGAGAACGACGCGGTGACCGATGCGGATGACATCAGCCAAGTTACAGAGCCAGAGGCACCCGCTACAGCGTTTTGCGACATCAAACGAACTCCTGTGCGTCGTCCGCGATGCCCATTGCCTGCAGTGGGACTGCAGCTTAACACAGAAGATTCTCGCCGTTGTCTATCGTAATCGAACAGCTGGCCGATACAAAACCCAGGACCGGGAGCGGCGATTCAGAAAATCAACTGAAAATGGTAAAATATAAACCAGTTGTCGTCCACCACGCATCATCAATTGCGTTTATGTTTCAAGCCCGGTACCCGGCCACATCAGACGTAACTCGGTCCCCTTCAACACGATGAGTTCCGAAACCTTCGAACATTTCGTGCCCCTCGAGAAGCTTCCGCTCAAGAAACGGGTTTAGAGACAATCTTGTAAAGGGCACATATTCCTCTGCCCGTCATGGAAATAGACTCAGGAAAAGGCCGCATCAGCCTGAGTCCGCGGCGCGAGAGGGGCTCCGATCGCCACGACCCAGAAAGCATCGGCCCATCAAAGCGCAAAGCTAGCGGCCCACGCCGCCGCCGTCCTACTCTTTGGGATGTTCGCGAACCTCCTTACGGCATCCCGATGCCACCACCAGGTGCCGCATCCTCAGTCGGCCAGCCCGTCGCTCGCCCAGGGGCTGTTCCTCCCCTTCGCTCAAGTGACGCAGGCCCTCGCGGTTATGTACCAGGTCCTCACGATATTGTGCACGCGCCCAAGGAGGGAGAGACTGGCCCCCTTGCCGGGATAAACGTTGAGGCGCTTCGCGCATTGCTTAACCCTCACGGCATAGGAATGAATGGAAGAGTGGGACACATGGCCCCCAGCCACGGCGGTCAGATAGCGGTTCACGCAGGCAAGGATCACGTCCCACACACAGGGGGTGACGCCTCCGCGCTTGGAGGGTCACAGCTCCCCTCGCAGGTCTCACGGCACGCCCGAAGGTTGTACGTAGGGAACCTGCCACCGGACACGACGGATTCGCAAATCGGCGATTTCTTCAATCGCGCGCTGCAAGCCTCCAAAGGTGTCGAGTCAGAGGGCGACCCCGTAATATCCGTCTACATGAATCTAGAAAAGCGTTTCGCATTCATCGAAACGCGTACAATTCGGGAAGCCGCGGCGGGCCTCGCGCTTGATGGAGTGCGCTTCAGGGACATGTTTCTGCGCCTGCGGCGACCAAACGACTACAACGCTGCGTTAGCGGGAAATCCAAGGCCACCAGATGGGTTTAATCCGGGAGTTTTGGGGATTGTATCGACGCAGGTGAGCGATGGCCCAAATAAGGTATTCATCGGCGGCATTCCGTACAATCTGACGGAAGATCAGATTAAGAGTCTATTGCAAACCTACGGACCGCTTGCAGCGTTTAACCTAATCAAAGAACCGAGCACTGGGATGAGCAAGGGATTTGCGTTCTTCGAATTCGTGGACCCAAGCGCAGTAGATGCGGCATGCTCTGGTTTACATGGAATGTCGGTAGGGGACAAGACGTTGACTGTCCGACGTGCATCCAATTCGTCTGGTGGGCATAATGCAACGCATGCGTCAATGGGAACAGGAGTTGCGAGAGAGGCAATCGTCTCTCAAGCGCCTGTGAGCGCAAACGCACTCTTGACGTCTTCTACAACTGTAGTGGAACTACGAAACGTGGTGACGAGGGAAGAGGTTGAGAATGATGAAGAATATGAAGATATCAAGGACGATATGGAAGAAGAAGGGGGCAAGTTTGGAAAGCTCGAAAGTGTTGTCATTCCGCGTCCGAGTGATGGACCAGCAATGGAGGCGGGCGTAGGAAGAGTGTTTCTGAAATATTCGTCCAAGGAAGAGGCTGAAAGAGCCCATGCGACAATGTCGGGACGCAGATTTGGAGAAAACACAGTCGAGGCTGCATTCTTTGACGAAACGCGGTTTGCAGACAGAGCCTTTTAGTGGTACGATGTCATCGAAGTATCTCACTGAAGCAGTAGCTGCACAAGGATGTAATCTAGTATCCTAGTAAACAGATCCCGGAATAGGCAGTTGGTCATCGAACTGAGTGTAAAAATCTTGGTGGCAGTTTTCTCTAAGGCTCGGTCTAAACAGAGGTCCATTTACATAACATAAACAGAGCCTCATTTTGGTGAGGTAGATCAATATCGCTGTTGGCGTTCATCCTGTTTGTGACACCCTTCTAAAAATTTTGAAAAAAAAACAGTCAGCACGAGCAATACTTGCGTGACTGGCCCTTCACGAAATCTCCACACCACAGTACACCCCCTGCGCCACAACAGCAGCCTCATCCTTTTTACTCCCTCCTCCACCTTTAGCCGGCCTTCCCCAAAACATCTCCCCCAGTCTGTCAGCTCCTCCCGTGCAGCCCACACATCTTCATCCTCGCCCGACGCCCTCTCCCTACAACTTGGTATGCTCGACGCTCTTGATGGAAATCGAACACACCCACCCTGTGCCCGTTGCCACCTCGACCACCCCAGACCAAGACGCGAAGTCGCCCAAGAAGAAGAATGACTTTCCGCAAATGCCCACTAACGCCGCCGACTCACAAGTCCTCCCCGACCGTCTAGTTCGAAGACTCGTGCTTTCCTACCTCCTACGTAACTGCTACTGCACGACAGCCCTTGCATTTGTCGCCTCCGATCCCGAAGTAGAGATCCAACAGAACGGCCACACACCCTCTACAAATTCACCCACTGACACGACCATGTCAGACGACGCCCCCGCCGAAAGTGAAGCACCGCTAATGCCCAGCATAACACCCGTCGAGCTCGAGCAACTCGACCAGCGCCGTGCCATGATGGATCGTATTCTCTCAGGCGACATCTGCGGCGGCATCGAACTAGCAGAATCCCTGCTCTCCTCCCCCTCATCTTCAGTTTCTAGCACTACTGTCAAAGACGCCTTCCCAAAGGTGTACTTGCGTCTTCTCTGCCAACACTTCGTCGAGCTCATGCGGCAACGAAAACCAATTGATGCCATATCTTTTGCGCGCCACAGCATAGCCCCTCTTGGAAAATCCATGCCGTCTGGCCTTCCATTGCTGCAAGACTACCTTCCGCTGCTAGCATACATGGACCCCGAAAAGTCCCCAATGTTTGAGCAGCTGGATACTAAGCACCGCGAATCTCTTGCCGAGGAGTTGAACGGCCATGTGTATGCTTACTTACATCATCACCCGAAGGAGAAGAAGCAGCCCATTGTACATCGGCAATCGGAGTTGGAGAGGCTGATGCGACAGCTGTCGTTGTTAATGAACAAGTTGCCTCCTAAGGAAGGGAAGGAGAAAGAGGAGGAGCGGCCGAAATGGACATTGGCGGACGCCCTCGAGGAGTCGAAGACGGAGCCGGAGTAGCGACACGTGATCATGGGGCGCTTGAATTCAAGATGCTTCCAGCGTGTAACCTCGAAAGAGGGTGTGTATGTGTATGTATTTTGTAAAAATCAGTTCAGTTCGAACCACAGTTGGGAACTGACTGTCGGCGATTAGTAAGGGAAGATTCCTTTGTGAAGGAGATGAAAGTAAACTTGATAACTTTTAGGCTCGATGGGGACGTTTTCTACAGCGAGTGAATTTGCTTGGTGCGTGGACTAAACAGTCCAGCACTGGATGAAAAAATGTTTATGTATACAGTCGCATAACGTCGCGCAACGTCCCGAGGGCGAAAAGAACGCGTTCACCGCTGTCCGCTATGCGCGTGGTTACGCCGCGCTCAACTGGATGCAATATCGATCAACGAATCCAGGGCATCCTTAACGTCGCCTAAATATATCTTCGGCACGTCGTAGTCGACCTTCGTGCCCAGAATCTGTCTATCCTCGCCAATGAACACGTTTGCATAAACGCTGGTATCTAACAATCGTATGGCGGACTGCAAGTCCTCTCTCAAGCCGACGATGGCGCCGCCCGCGTCCTGTGACGAAGCGTTCAGGAGCTGGTTGCACACGTCCTTGACGCCGACGACTGGGCGGGAAGCGAGGACGGTGCGCACGGAGTCCCACTTGGCCGCGGCGATCAGCGGGTCGATGTCGTCGACGCGCGCGCGTATTGATTGTAGAGAGGTGCGGGAGAGCGTGAGGCCGTCCGACGCGGCCATCGCGCGTTCTATGTGGGCGAAGGCAGATAGACCGAACGTCGCCCCGAAGAGACTGACGACGGCGCGACGGGTGTACGAGGGACCGGACCTGGAGGATGGCGACTTGGATGCGGGCGGAAATGGGGCGGCTTGGGTCATGTGTAGGGGCATTTGGGAGGCGCAGGTGCAGCCGGTGCGGAAAGTGGGGGGCAGGGAGGGGAGGAAGGAGGTAGTGAAGGCGGGGGCGGAGGTCATGGTGGGTGATGTGAGCAGGGTGTGATGAGGTCGGGGAAATGGTGGGAGGGCTTGTGGCGGAAAACGTCGCGAAGTGGAATGCAATCAGGGGTAGTCTTCACGTTTTACAAAGATGTTTAAGAGGCTTACCGCTACTTCAACGCGACCTTTTAACGTGCGTAATGCATAGAGGGATGCATCGCCGCAAAAGAGCTGAGCCGTGTGACTCGAGCAGATGATATCTGGGCTGGTGGCCACGGGGGCAGCTGGGGCCCGGGATATTGATCATACGACCCCCCAATCACGTCGCTCTGAATCTGAAACCATCCAATCGGCGTCCTCTATGCACCGCCACCACTCAGATTTTTACGAAATATCATCAAACCGCAGTACTCACCATGCAAAAGGGGGCCGTGATACCTCACAGCTCTCTCGGAGCAGGCCGTGATACCGAGATTCTAGGTGTAGTGCCGCCGGTGCTGCTAAACGTGAATGAGCTCTCGAGCATATGCTCCTCGGTCGAAACTTGGGGGCACTTGGACTTGAGGTGCGAAGATTTCTTAGCGTTTGCGGTGGGCGAGTTTGCACCAGGGTGAGCAGCAACGGCAATGGAGCTGTGTGTTGCGTAATACTGATACGTGCTGGTCAGGTGCGGGGGCATGGAGCGGTACAATAACTGGGTGCCCATGGAACAGACGAAAATAGCAACATGTTTCAGTTGTAGGACCCTTTCACATGTTCAGAGCTCTCTGCTGTCCTTCTGGCCTGTTCTAGTACTTGTGATTGATCTTGGCGAGAAGGCAGGGAAACATGAAGCTTATTCTTGTAATAGCTCCCGCGCGCATTCTTTCTTTCTGTCACGTTCTTTCAACAAGTCAGTATATCAGGCCACACTACACGTAACGCAACGGCCACATACTGTACCGCAGTATGAGTATGAGACAGGTTTTATTCGCGGTATGTCTCTGATTACTTGTTCACTCAAATGCTACTGTGGTGTCTCCCTTTTTTTGCACCACAGTCGCACTCTTCGATAGGCACACATGTAACCTACGAGCTGGGACACTGTATCAGCCCTAAAAGGGTTAGGGTGTAGACTACCGTTACACTTGCGCCCCATAAGGTTAAGCCTCAATTCACGTCATGCATGCTGGGTGCTGATGGACTGATGGAATGATTGCACAGGCTCCGTGAGGAAGGCAGATCACGTCGATGAGCGGTCTCGATCGCGACGCACGGCGTTGCGTAATGGGCCTGCCATCCCTTCGCTCCGCCCTCCGAGATCGCCGCCGGAAGATATGCACGCGCAATCCGCCAAGTGTTCCAATCCGCTCCCTCTATCGGATCCCGCAGGCCGAGATTCAGGGTGAATGGCCCAAAAACGCCTCCCACGGACATGCCTTGCTGCCGTGCACTCCTCCAACCGCCACGCGCCCTCCCAAACGGTTGGTGCGGCGCCTCTTAATGGGCCCCGCGCCCACTCCCGCCCCTCCAAAGGCATACCGGTTTCTCCCCACGCCCCTCTGCCAACCCCGTTCGCCCAAGTGGAGGAAATCGTTCCACAACTCTACGGCAATGCGACCTCCCCCCGCCGAGGTCGTACACAACCTCGCGCACAACGTAACCACGCAGGCCACCCTGCTCCACAGTGAGCATATCTCCCACCCCGCCCATCCGCCCCGCCGTCGTACCAGACTTTCGGACTTTCCCCCTCGGCACCGCTTCGCCGCCCCACACCATGGCTTTCGTCAACGTCGCCGCCACGTCCTTCCTGAGCGCATCCGTCGCGCCGCGCGTCGCCGTCTCCCCGCGCCGGCCCGCCCGCGGCGTCCGCATGCAGCAGGACGCGGGCGACGACGGCTACGAGGTCCCCGTCACGCGCCGCCTCTCCGATGCCCTCAAAGAGAAGGACGTCGAGGCCCGCAAGAACCGCGAAGAGGCCGAGCGCCGCCTCCGCGAGAAGGAGGAGAAGCGCATGGCACGCCAGCGCAAGATCGATGCCCTAGATGCCATCCCGGACGACTTGGAGGTCGGCTCGGTCAATCAGCATATGTATGAGGCGGGCGTGCAGGAGGAACTCGATATGCTCGATCATGACTTGGTGGGGCTCAAGCCCGTCAAGACCAGGGTTGCTGAGATTGCTGCCCTGCTGATTGTGGATAAGCTCCGCAAGAGTCTTGGCTTGGAGACCGCAGTTCCGAGTTTGCATATGTCGTTCACGGGCGCCCCGGGAACTGGAAAGACCACTGTCGCGATGCGTATGGGGCAGCTGCTCAACAAGATGGGGTACTGCCGTTCCGGTCATTTGACTGTCGCGACGAGGGACGATTTGGTGGGGCAGTATGTGGGGCATACAGCGCCGAAGACGAAGGAAGTTGTGAAGAAGGCGTTCGGGGGCGTCTTGCTGGTCGATGAAGCCTACTATTTGTACAATGCTGCTAATGACAAAGATTATGGTCAGGAGTCGATTGAGATTCTCCTCAATGTCATGGAGACTCAGAAGGAAGATCTCATTGTCGTTCTGGCAGGATACGAGGACAGGATGGACAAGTTCTATGGTTACAATCCTGGTATGAGCAGCCGAATCGGAAATCACATTCAGTTCCCGAACTATTCGGCGGATGAGCTGGTGAAGATTGCCGAGTTCATGACGAGGGACCTCGAGTACGAGTTCGCGGATGGAGCGCCAGATAAGTTTAGGACGTACGTTGAGAAGAGAATGTCCATGCCTTACTTTTCCAACGCCAGAACCGTGCGAAACGCAGTCGACAGGGCTCGCATGCGCGCATCCATTCGGCTGTTCAACAGAGCCATGGGCAAAGAGGGCAACGGTATGATTTCCAAGAAGGACTTGAAGCTCATCCTGCCAGAAGATCTGGTGTCGGCTGATGAATTGGCGGCCCGTGGTGCGACAGCTATTGTCGAATAAGAGTTTTTAAAAGGTATTTTGTTGTCCCAGTGAAGGAGTGAGTCGTTGAGTAGGATAGGCGGAGAGGTGCTTTTGTTTGGGGGTTGTTGAGCAGGACTGAGGTGGATTTTCTCTTGACAAGGTGAAGTCGGTTTCTGAGTTGTAGGGACGATTTTTTGGAGTCGCTTGTACAAGGTCAAGTGTGCCCGTTGCTTTAAAGTTTTGCCCAGATGAAAATCGCAAACCCGATAGGGTTGACATGCCACGATCAGCGAGGCGAATTCTTCTGTTCTTGAGCTTCGAGACGCGGTCTAATAGTTGCGCCTTAAGTACCCATGGTACGGCATAATCTTTATGCAAGTTGTAAACACACAGCGAGCTTGCAAAGAAGGGTGTACTTGTACACTCGCGGCGATGTTGCGCTCCCGAGCTCTCCTGCTACTTTGTACAAATGGCACACGTGTAAGTTTAGAGAAGATTTCCCATGTGTGGATCCTGAACGGGCCCACATTTTCCCGCCAAAAAAGACGAAATGGCAGCGACAAGCTCCTACTGCCGGACCGCAGCAGCCTCCAGTGCGCTTGCTTTATCGATATACAAACCCAAGGGAGACAGCCGCAGCACTATCCGCGTCAACAAAAACTCTGTGCCGCTTCCCGTCGTCACCGACACGCTTCTTTTGGAGTCTCCCCTTTCCCCAACATGAAGCAACCGGCTGCCAAGAAGCAGAAGACGGAGCAAGAGTCGCCCGAGCACGACCCAATGGACGACCTTGACGACCACCATCCCATACCTGAAGACGAAGACGACCAGCCTGCCGAAGAAACGCAGCTGCAACCTCCGCCACTAGCTGTCGCCGACCTCGAGGGAACGTCTGTCTTCCTGAAGGAGCGCGATGAATGGCGCAGACCATCCATAGATGTCGCCACAAACTCAGAGGAGCCCCTTGTTGTCATGCAGGTGGACGCCTCCCTGGCAAACGTCCAGGACAAGAATGGTGCTGCTGTCATTTACATGTTTGGTTTGACCGAGGGCGGGAGCTCCGTGCTTGTCAGGGTGCACCATTTCTATCACTACTTCTACTTGCCCGTGACCGATGGGATTCAGCCTGAGGCCCTGGCTGAAGCCATCAATCGCCGATTGTGGAATGACAAGACAGTTCCGAGGGACAGGACTGTTGTGACGAATGTTGAGATTACTACAAAGCGCAGTATCATGTATTTTATTCCTGGCGACCCGGAGGTCAAGTTTTATAAGATCACACTTCTCAACCCAAGGCACACGAAGGATGTCGCTAGAATTCTGCAGCGAGGAGGTTTATCGGTAAAGAAACCTAATGATGTAACTGCTAAGTTGCCTGAGCTGCCTACTTTTGAGAGCACATTGGATTACTTGTTGCGCTTTATGATTGAGGTTGGTCTCGTGGGATGTTCGTGGCTCACCTTGCCGGCTGGAAAGTATACTATTACGGAGCATAAGAAGTCTCTGTTGCAAGTGGAAATAGATGTCCATGCGAACGACATCATCGCACACAACCCCGAAGGAAAATGGCTGAGAACAGCCCCCTTACGTCGCTTGTCCTTTGACATTGAATGCGCCGGGCGAAAAGGGATCTTCCCTGAACCGGAACATGACAAAGTCATTCAAATCGCGAATTACGTCTGGGATCACGGCCACAAGAAACCAATTGCACAGGTTGTGTTCACTCTTAAGAGCTGTGCGGCAATTGTTGGGGCGGATGTTGTTTCCTATGAAAACGAGGAAGAGCTTTTGTCTGCATGGGCACGATTCGTCCGGCTTACGGACCCAGATATCCTCACAGGATACAATATAGTCAACTTTGATCTTCCGTACCTCCTCGATCGCGCAGCGCAACTCAAAGTGGCTGATTTTCCCCTCCTTGGTCGAATGATCGGCCAGCCAACGACCATGAGAAAAACGAGGATGAGCTCCTCTGCTTTCGGGACACATGAATCTCATGCCTTTTCAATGCATGGCCGCGTTATTTTTGACATGCTTCAACTGATCACAAGAGAATACAAACTGAGATCCTATTCTTTGAATTCTGTATCTGCCGAGTTTCTAGGCCAGCAAAAAGAAGATGTTCACTACAGTATCATTGGAGACCTCCAAAGAGGTGATGAACAAACTCGACGGAGGCTTGCCGTTTACTGTCTAAAGGATGCGCTGTTACCTGTGAGACTCATGGACAAATTGATGTCACTGACTAACTACATGGAAATGGCTCGTGTCACTGGCATTCCGTTGGGCTGGCTTGTCTCGAGAGGCCACATGATCAAAGTTGTAAGTTTGTTGCATCGTAAGAGTCACCTTGTAGACCTTCTCATTCCTGATATTAAGCGTTCGGGCCCTGAAGGGGGAGGTGGCGATGGACCGCAGTTTGAAGGAGCTACCGTCATTAAGCCAGAGAAGGGATACTACAAGGACCCGATCGCCACTCTTGATTTTGCGTCCCTGTATCCTTCAATCATTATGGCTCACAACCTGTGCTACAGCACGCTTGTTCGACCAGTCCACCTAGCTCATATGAAGCCAGAGGACTTATCGAAGAGCCCATCTGGGGCATCATTTGTGAAGAGGTCAGTGAAGAAAGGCATTCTGACGAAAATATTAGAAGAATTATTGGCTGCACGGAAGCAAGCTAAAAAAGACCTCAAAGCTGCGAAGGACCCTTTCCTACAGTCAGTTTTGAATGGGAGACAGCTCGCTTTGAAGATTTCCGCGAACGCTGTCTACGGTTTCACAGGTGCATCTGTCGGAAAGCTGCCATGTATGGACATTTCAGCTTCAACCACAGCTTACGGTCGCCAAATGATTGACAACACCAGGTTGGAAGTTGAAAAACGTTACAAGGGAGCGACTGTCATTTATGGTGATACGGATTCTGTAATGATTAAATTTGGTAATGGCAAGTCTTTGGAAGAATGTATGCGACTTGGTGAAGAAGCAGCGGAAGCAATATCGTCTATCTTTCCAAAACCCGTCAAACTTGAGTTTGAAAAATGTTACTATCCGTACCTACTGATAAGTAAGAAACGATATGCTGGACTGCTGTGGACAAATACCGAAAAGTACGACAAGATGGACTGCAAAGGAATTGAAGCTGTAAGACGTGATAATTGCAGGCTTGTCGCAAATGTCATTTCTTCAGTTCTTGAGTTTCTTCTCAAGAAGAGGGATCTTCAACAAGCAATTTCTATGGTGAAGAAGGTGATATCTGACTTGCTGCAAAATAAGATTGATGTATCTCTTCTTGTCGTATCGAAGTCGTTGACAAAGACAGACTACGAGAACAAACAAGCTCACGTTGTTCTAGCCGAGAAACTGCGCAAGAGGGATCCTGGAACTGCTCCAGCTATCGGTGATCGTGTCCCTTACGTTATTACGAAGGGAAGGAAAAACGAACCTGCATACTCACGAGCTGAGGATCCGTTGTACGTTTTAGAGAGGAATATCCCCATTGACAATAATTACTACCTCGAGAATATGCTTCGCAAGCCCCTGGAAAGAATCTTTGAGCCTGTAATGAAAAGTTCCGTGAACTCTTTGTTTGTTGGTGAGCATACCCGCACGATATCCGTGGTAACACCGAAGAAAGGCGGAATGGCGAAGTATACAAAGGTGCGCCTTAAATGTTTGGGGTGCAAAGCACCCATCAACGAAGGCGCGCTGTGTGCTTACTGTGTACCTAAAGAAGCAGAGCACTACACAAAGAACTTGAACACCATGGTCAAACTCGAAAAGGCTTATTCCTCTTTGTGGACTGAATGCCAGCGATGTATGGGCGACATTTGTCATGATGTTCTGTGTAGCAACGGAGACTGCCCAATATTTTATCGGCGGCGAAAAGCACAAATTGATCTCAATGCTGCAAGCGAAAAGGTCTCGCGCTTTGGGCTTGACTGGTGACGATACTTGTTTGGTGCAAGTTTGAGTAGTGTACAGAAGGCACCCTCCCAAGGATAAAGCATTTATTTCGGTATCTCGTACTCCGCAAGGCACATTTGGATGTGCTTCGTTCTGCCCATCGTTAACTGACATACGTAGATTTTTTTTTGTAGGCAAGCAGAAGTATTTAAGTCGTCCGCGAACTATCTTCGGTAATTCCGAAAGCGTATGGATCGTCTGCTGGGCCAAAGCCGTATTGCATGAAAGCTTCAGGACCCGGTGGAGCCGAGCCACCCATTTCGGCATTATCGCCCTCATCCTCTTCAAGTGTCGGATCTGATACGGCACTAGCAGCAGGTTCTGCCGAAGGCGACGGGCTAGCGGACGGAAATGGACTGAAAGAAGCGGTAGGCAATGGTGATGGCGACGCGGAAGGCAATGCAGTTACTGGAACGGGCCCGGACGGCGCGGGTCCCAACGAATCATCCTCGAAATTACTGTTCGAGCGTTTGGACATGGATGCGCGTTTGGTCATTGCCGACTCTCCTACTTTGCATTCGGTTTCCATGAGAGGCATGATGAAATTTGATACATTCACGCTTCTGGCGGTGACAAGCGTGTCATATAATCGATCTCGAACCTGCCTTGGTTCAGCTTGCATCCAGGGATTCTCCGCGAGAACAAGAGCGGAAATACCAACGATATGTGGAGTGGCCATACTGGTACCATTCATAGCTTCGTAGTCTGATTTCGAGTCGATACCGGCGCTAACAATCTGATGTCCAGGCGCGATAAGTTCAACGCATGGGCCAATATTACTATCAGTTTCGATGTTGTCTTTTTTCGTGCTAGCCGCTACAGTGAGCGCTTGTTCCGCCTTTGAAGGACTGAACAAACATGAATTGACGGCCGCATTTCCAGCAGATACGACAAAGACGATACCTCTCGACGATGCAGCATGCACCATTTCATCCAAAGGCGAAATTGAAGTGCCGGTAAGAGCAGAGTAGCTCAAATTGACAACAAACGGAACCGAAGAATTAGCGAACTTCTGCTCAATAACGTACTCAACGGCACTGATGGTATCAGTAGCAGCCCCGTTGCCATGTTTGTCGAATGCTTTGATACAAATGATATCCGCATTTCGTGCAATACCAACATTAGCACCAGCAATTACTCCCGCAATGTGACTTCCATGCCCGTGATCATCAATGCCATTTTCGAATGTGCTGCCAGGAGCCGGCATAGTGGAGATACTTGCATTCAAAAACTCGTTGTGGTTGATTCGGCATCCAGTGTCTATCACGAATACTCTAACCCCTGCCCCCTTCTTCGGGTAACATGAAAAATCAACGGGTTTGTTGTCCAGGGGGGAGTAGTCCTCATCTATTCGGTCGAGCCCCCAGTTATAGGGCAACAGTCCTTCTTCGGGTTTCGAAGTCATCCTGACTAGCGGCTTACGAAACATCGGTGTCTCTGGTCCCCCGTCGTCATCAGCATTTTTGACTCCTGAAGTAGACGGTGCAGTGGTCAATAATGCATCTGGTGTGGAGTTCGACACTCCAGTAAGTTGCTTCAGTTTATCATTGATAAGAATTGCATCCTTGGGAGTCCTCACAATACCGCAGCGCACTTTGAGCATATGAAGTTGTGGGAAAAACCGCAGCACCTGACATCTGGCGCTTTTTCCGTAGAAACGAAGGTTGCGAACTTGGCGAGTAACAACTTTGTGACTAGCATGTGGACTTAGTGTTAAAACAAACCGTTTTTGGACTTCGGAATCAGTTACATTCGGACTGCTCCCCGTCTGTTTTGCTTTCCCACCCTTTCTATTGCCACTTGGTCTGTTTGCGGTCGTCTTAGTCTGCGGGTTAGTCGGTGGTCTCTGAGGCCTCTCCTTGTTCTGTTTTTGCTTGCTTTGTCGCTGTTTCTTTCGCGGTTGCCCACGCCATATCTTTTTGCCCGGTTTGTTGTTCTTATGAATGGCTTTTTTTCGTTTTCCCTTAGCTTGTTGCTTCCATTTTTCAGCGGCAACTATAGGGACAATAATACCCAGCACTGCCACAAGCAACAATATCAAGGCAGAAAAACGTAGACGCATTTGTTGTTCGAAAAGGAAAAGCGACAAGGGAGGCACTCCCGTTTCTGGGAAGCACTTCAAAAAAAGGAAAAGTTATTCCGTTGATACTGGATAGACAAGGTCATGAGCGTGTGCGAAGAACACTGTATCCAAAGGCGAGAGGTACGAGACTTCGAATGTATGCAGAACTCAAACCAGAAGCCTTGGGCCAAATAGCATTTTGCACAGGCCCAATTCCAGAGCACGCAGAAATGGTTCATGTCACCGTTACAACAAGCTAATTTTGAAGCTGGCCTCTGGCCTGGAGAAATGCGTTGTAAAGGAGTTGCTGGGTCCCTGGGATTGAGTGGTCCCTTCTACCTGCTATAAACATAAGAAAATGCAGTGAAAACTGGGCTTCATGCATTGGAATGACAAAACATTCTCCTTTGGCTTACAGCTCTGACCGACGTCATCTCATTTCCCTCATCAAGAATTGCAGCAGAAGTGAAGTAGTTCGTGCGATTGCCGGAGGGACAATTTACCTATGAGACAAAAATCAATAAGAAGGGTGCAGTACTTTTTAAGAAAGACCTGCATAACTTATGTGTGTTCCGAGTTCCAAATTATAATCTTTATTGGCTTTTTTTACATGATCTATAACTCCTTTGTGCGCGTTTTCTTTGCCATTGCGTTTAGGGTATGAACAAACCCTCTCTTATAAACAACGACGATAACTTCTGTCCAAAAGATCAATGATTTTAGATGGAAAGCACGGCCTATTGCTAGAGAAGATGGCGATATTGGGACCAGGGTCCCAAGTTATCACCATCTTGGGTTGCATAGCAAGAAATTGACAACCTTTGTTAGAAATGATATCCAGCATGTTGCACCGTCTTAGGAACGAAGTAAATCCAGTTCTGAATGTGCTCAGCGGCTATCGCATTCACAAGGGTAGTGTCGGAGCGATGTGCACGTGGAAGAATTGCGCTCTCCGGAAATGGCCTTGATAGTTTTCCATTTGCATTCATTCTTGTCGGAAAAGTTTTTGCTGGGCGGCCGAAAACTTTTCCGCGGTACGCTTGGCCCTGAAGTTCATTGAGACTGTTAATGCCGTCCCGAAAAACGTGCAAAGGATGCTTGTTTCTATAATTGTCCGTACTCTAGAGAGAGGGCCCAGGGTCAAAATCTTTCATACAGTTTAGCAGTAAAATTTTCTCTCAGGCCTGTCTCTTTGAAGGAACTATTTCTACAGTGTGGGCCCCAATACTGTACTGAGAAGCATAGTCTTCTGTAAGAAGGCGCGTTGTACGGCCCATACGCGCACATACAGTTCTACGGTTGAAGGACAACTTTTCTGCACGCACTGCTCTGTTCGCGAAACATAAACAGGGAACTGTGAAAGGTTCAGAACATGTAAAAATTGTTGGATGTCGCTTGTACAGAACCGTTCTCACCGGCTCAATTTGGGTACGTTTAGAATTTGGGAGAATTACCACACCGGGGACATCTATGAAGATTTAGGCCGAACAGTGGACATCGTTTGGACGGTTAAGCAAAATAGTAGACACATTTTAACAATGCGTCGTCGTAGACATAGCTTGAAAAGAAAACGAGATGATGCACAAAGTACTACTGCGAATACGGCGACATTTTCTTTCAGGTAGAATGCACAATGGTCGACAGTTGGGCTATAATTGCAAACGAGTGGACGGTCTGCAGCAAAATGCTGTTCGATGAGACACAATCTTGGGCAATTGAAGAAGGTTGACATAATTTGACATATAATGTTCTCTGGTGGACACAACCTGATCAAAAATAGTTATCAATGGACACCTCACTGGAAATGCAGAACTGTTGACATCCAAAGAGAAATTCTGCAGATCGGTGAACATTCAGATCAAATCTGTGCGCAAAACGACCGTCAGTCATCCTAGCAGGAGAGCGATCATCATAGCTGGTACTGTGAAGATACAACTCTGCCAAGCTCCGGTTCTATTTGTACTACAACACAGTCTGACCCGTCGTTCCCTGTTAATGCGCGCCATTGTGCCGCGGCAACTCAGTCCCGCCGAGGCAACGGCACTACCCCGAGACGACATCAATGTGCCACGGCGACTCCACGGCGCCCCGATGGTATCATCGCGCCCCACAGCCGTCTTCGCGCCACCCTTGCCTCGCTCATGCACCGTCGTATGTCATAGAATCGGGGAGATGATCGCCGCTCTCGCTCCCCGATTCTGCTCGCCAGCTCGCTTGAGCTTAGCGGTGACTAATCGGATGAAGACTGCGAAGCCGTCGGGCCTAACGTCACCAGCCCTGTCACAGTGCGAAGGCGACGCGATTGGGCACGCCGGGATCGATCAACGGTTCTCCCATGGACGATTTCGCCGCCGCTGGAAGAAGGCCTTTCTATTGCCATGCCGATGAACGGTGAGGATGCCATCGGTACTGGGCATTGCTTCACTCTCGGCATGAATCGCGGCTGTAACTTCTCTGCCGATTGTATCTATTTGACGAGTCGGCGTGCTCTTCACGCTGGCGGTGGAACACACTCCTCAGTGGGCAATTGACAACTCGTAGAAAGGTCGTCTGATCTTACCGCTCATTATCAATTCTCAAGTGAAGATGCTGGGATACAGAAGAGAACGAACTTGATGATACCCAAGTCCATCAGTTCCTGATGCTATTTATGCTCGCAAGTCCTGCGTTGAAGGGACTTAGACGCTCACCGAGACCTTTCGCACGAAAGCCACAGCTTCTACAGTATAACCCCCCTATAGGAATGGGTCGGTGGAATCTAGTCATATTCATAGTGAGGGGTGTATCCGTCGAAGAGGTACACTTTTCAAATATTTTACACGTGTAGCCTTGCCCCAAAAGGACGTTATTTTCGTCTGAATGGCGCTATCCTGCTGATCACGCCTTATCTCGCGCTGAACACGAGAAATACCTCCTGTAG